TGATGTTTCATTAATGAAAGAGAAAAAAAACGGCAGCTTCAGTCTACCAATCTCCAAGATAGTATCTTTAGGATACAAGTCTCAATTCAAATCAGTCTAATCACATGCCAAAACTTCTCACCCTAACCCCTTAATTTATACACAACAAGTATTACAAAATAGTACTAGCTGTTCTTAATTCTTGTCTTCATTCACTACCATTGTTTTGCCATGGTTCCACTACCAAAGTTGCTACTACTCTCTGCTCCTTTTAATTGCCTTTGTCCACTTGCACCACCTCCTCATTTGTTGTTGCTGTTGTGATTGATGGAAGGCTAGGTTGGACAACCTTACCCCTCCTCTGATATTGCTTGAGAATAGGTGGCTTAACAGGCCAATTACTCGGTCCATTACAACTCTCCAAGGGGACCCGACACTTGAAACTTCACAAATATCGCTGAAGGCGTGCAAAGAGAAGGGAGGATTATGGGTGGAGGTAAATGATATCTCAGGGGAGGGGGAGGCTCAAGGTGACAAAGGGCCCGAATTTCCGGAGGCAGTGCTTGAAAAATTCAAGGTGTTTGAAGAACCGGCTGGGTTACCCCCATCACGAGGACATGAGCATTCCATAACTCTCATAGAAGGCTCAAACCCCGTAAGCGTTCGGCCGTAACGGTACCCGCAGTTTCAGAAGGACGAGATTGAAAGGATGATACGGGAAATGTAGGCTGGGATTATTAAGTCGTCCATTAGCCCCTTCTCTAGCCCGGTCCTGTTGGTGAAATAAAAGGACGGTTCATGGCATTTCTGTGTCGATTGCAGGGCTCTCAACAAGGAAATAGTGCCGGATAAATTCCCAATTCCGGTTGTCGACGAATTGCTGGACGAGTTACATGGGGCGGTCATTTTTTCTAAGCTCGATTTGAAGGCTGGATAGACACAAATAAGACAGCGTTCCGTACTCATGAGGGACATTACGAGTTCCTTGTAATGCCTTTCGATCTATCTAATGCACCGGCGACTTTTCAGTCCCTTATGAATGAAGTGTTCTGACCATTTTTGAGGAGGTTCGTCTTGGTATTTTTCGACGATATTTTGATTTACATTAGAAGTGAGGAAGAACACCAGCAACATTTGAGTGAGGTATTTGCAAACCGCAAGAAATGCGAATTTGGCAAAAGAGCGGTGGCGTATCTTGGCCATGTGATTTCAGAGAGGGGGGTGGCGGTGGATGGAAGAAGGTCAAGGCCATGACTAAGTAGCCCATTCCCTAGAAATTTGAAGGAGCTCAAGGGGTTCCTTGGGTTGACAGGCTACTACTGTAAGTATATTTCAAAATATGCTATGATAGCTCAGCCACTCACAGATCAATTACGAAAGGACTGTTTTGGATGGACTAAGGCAGCCACTGTGGCGTTTGAGAAACTCAAGGAGGCAAGATTCATCACCAGTGTTAGATATGCCCGACTTCAAGAAAAATTTCGTGGTTGAAACGTATGCTTTTGGTAATGGGTTAGGAGCGGTTTTAATGCAGGAAAACCGACCTATCGCATATTACAGTAAAGTGCTGGGAATTCAGGCTCGTGAGAAATCAATTTATGAGAAAGAACTTATGGCGATTGTGTTGGCTGTGATTAGATGGAAGCACTATTTGATGGAAAGGCGATTTATCATTCGAAATAGGTGCAGATTACCAGAAATGGGTTCAAAAATTGATCGGGTTCGAATATGAGATTCAATATAAGCCAGGGGTATCCAATAGGGTGCCGATGCTCTCTCAAGGAAGAAGGAAGGAGATGCAGAATTGGGAACTTTACTCACTCAACAGGCTGTACAGTGGGATGAGTTGCGCAAGGAAATTGAGAGGGATCCATGGCTGATGGAGTTAAAATGGGAGCTGGAAGATAAGAGAATAGGACCTCCTGGGTTTTCCTTGGGAGATGGGTTAGTCTTGTTTAAGGGGAGATCGTGTTACCAAAAAAATCAAGATTCATACCGGTACTTTTGAAAGAGTATCATAGCACTGCCATAATCCGAAGGGGTAGATACGGTGTTAGTGGTGGTGGATAGGCTCTCTAAATATGCTCATTTTGTGAGGCTGAAACACCCGTATACTGCTCAAACAGTAGCCGAGAAGTTTGTAAGTGAAGTGGTGAGGTTGCACGGGTTTCCCTCTTCGATAATTTTAGATCGTGATCGAGTATTTCTGAGTAAGTTTTGGAGGGAGTTGTTTCGTTTACAGGGGACTGATCTCAAAAGGAGCACGTCATACCACCCACAAACAGATGGACAATCCGAAATCGTGAACAAAACACTGGAGACGTATCTGAGGTGTATTGCCATGGAGAAGCCTAAATCTTGGGCCAAGTGGTTACCGTGGGCGGAGTTCTCCTATAACACATCAACTCACATGTCAGCAGGCATCACTCCTTTTCAGATTGTGTACGGGAGAGAACCTCCAGGGTTGATAAAAGGGAGTGCTGGGCAGACTCCTGTCAGCTCCTTAGAGGAGTGGCTGTTACTCCGAGACATCATGTTGGATGAGCTGAAGGTTAGACTTATCAGCGCTCAGCAAAAGATGAATGCTGGAGCTGATAAAGCCAGGAGAGAGGAGAACTTTTCAGTTGGAGATCTGGTATACTTAAAGCTGAGGCCTTACCGTCAACAATCCCTGGTAAAACGACCCTTTCAGAAGCTGGCAGCACGTTACTATGGGCCTTACAACGTCACTCGAAGGATTGGGGCAGTAGCTTATGAGTTAGAGCTACCCTCCACCTGTCAAATACAACCGGTGTTCCATGTTTCGCAATTAAAAAGGGCTATGGGAAATGTTGTAGTACCTCAGACTATTCCACCTCAGCTAACTTCCGAATTGGAGATGGTAGTTGAGCCGGAAGATGTGTTACAGTGGAGAGAAGAAAAAGGGCAGTCTGAAGTCCTGATTAAATGGAAAGGTTTGCCACCATTTGAAGCAACGTGGGAGGATTCAACCCTCATTAATGAACAATTTCCCTTGTAGTGGGAGGACAAGGTGAAACTTCTAGGGGTGGGCGATGTAATGGACCCGGCTAATCAGTCCAAACAACCTGTGACTCTCACATATGCCAGGAGATGGAGAAAGGGTAGCACCATGGCACCACTACAGCAGCTGGTCAGGGGTACAGAACAGGACAACAACAATTGATGAGCTGTGCAGCAAAGTGAAGACAAAACCAGCCACCAGATCAGTTTGGACTAGTGTATATAAATGAAAAAGGGGGAAGTTTAAGGCAGACATTTTGTAGTAGAGTATTTTCTGGGTGTTGTGGGCTAAACCCACTATTTGAGAGTTGTAGGCTAAACCTACTATTGCTGAGAGTTGTAGGCTAAACCTACTAGTTTTGTGTTTCTTTGGTTGCTGCCATTGTTAAATATAATCAAGCTTGAAGCTTTCTCCCTCATTTGTTCTGTTTATTGCTGTTTTGCTTTGTTGTTAGTCGAGTAGTGGTCTGAGTCCATTACATCGGGGTGGGGATGGGGATGAATTTTGGACCCACCGCGGGGATGGGGATGGGAATGGGAAGGTCAATATCCCTAGATGTAACCCCTACTTTTTTCCTAATTATTTCATTCCTTAACCAATCCTTTCTATCGCAATGACGCATCTTCGCCATATTCATCTTATGTATGTGACAATGCTTCACAACCAACATTTTGTACCATATAGCAATGTAGGCAAAATCGCCGTTCACTAGAATTTATCCTTCAATCTATGAGGCATGCTAGGATCACAATCATCACATGAAATCCCCGTAGCACTCTTCCACTTCAACCAACCTGCGTTGATCTTATGAGCTACATCTCCATCCAATTCCTCATCCATTTGAACTATAGATTTCAGATATCAGAAGTCCTTAGAACCTTGGACAATCTTCCCATCTAGCCTTGTCTCCCTCCATGTTTCTTACTCCGCTAAACTCTCAATAAATTAGTTAGAGTAGCTTTTTGCATCAGAGATGGCATTGGATTGAGTCTGTTGTAGGTATTTCTTTTTGTACTTTCTTGAGACCCTTGATGAAGGCAATCAATTAATTTCAGAGAGCCCTTCAGATCAATAGAGATTCTAAACAGAACATGCTGCTGTATGCGTTTGCTATACAGAACTAATACCATCTGATATTTAACTGCTATCAGAATCCCATTTTAGAGATCATACCCATTCACGGTACTAGTGGCCTGTGGGAGACTATAGAGCGAAGGGTAATTCTCTTTGCAAGACATACTAAAAGGAAACTTATCGGTGAATGCCTAGTTCTTAAGGGTCTTTAAAGGGATTTCTGTGTTCATATTACCATACATGATAATTTGCTATGCCAGGACATGGCAAATTAACACATAATTTTGTGGACTATAGGAATAAAAGAGTATTGTAAGTTTCTTTGTATCAATAGCCATGTGAATGCCTGAGATTAAAGGCTCTGGAAAATTCATGTTTCATATCAAAAGTTATCCTCCAGAGTCCAAAAAGTGATGGAATTGTGGGGCTAAAAATTACTGAGTATATCCCCAGGTAGCTAGCTTAACGTGATGTCAAAGAATTGGCAAATGAAGCTTGTGTTAAGAGTATAACCCAAGGCCTCTTGCAAACTACTTGTAAGTACAAATGTATGGTTGGTATTCTTGGTAAGGAATTAAAATACACAATGTTGATGTCCTCATTTTTTGGCATTCTGCTTGTTAAGACTTAGGCAGGCGCTTTTAGGTTCATGTAGCATTTTAGTAATGATTTACATTTTTTATTTTTTCGAGATGAAGACAGAAGTGGGAAAAGCCATCTCAATTGTTTATGTATTGGTGATCTTTGTGGAAACTTGAGAGTATGAGACTGGATTCTGTGGATATTTTTTTTCCTCTGCTACTTAAATTCATATGCATGGATTATAGTGCTCTTCCTGTGCCATTTCATTAGCTAATTTGTTTAATTTCTCCTTTGTATTTGTCTTGTAACTACTTGCTGAAACTAATTTCTTGATTTCATATAGATTGTTGAAAAAGGACCAAATAGAGACTTCTGGGGTCACCCCTTGGCAACGTCAACTGATGATACCAACCCATGGTGGTCTCTTTTTGTGCAAGCTATTACAGCCGCAGGAGGAAAACTTGGGAAGCCTGAAATCTTAGCTTCTACAACTGATGCTAGATTTATAAGACAGAGGGGGATTCCCACTTTGGGCTTTTCCCCAATGAAAAATACTCCAATTTTGCTTCATGATCATAATGAGGTCTGATAAAATCTAATTATTTATCCTATGTCTCATCTTACACTCACACTCACACACACACACACACATATGCTGTGATATCTTTCTCTAATTGTGGAATTTTCTTTGCAGTTCCTGCAAGATGCTGTATATTTAAATGGAATTAAGGTGTATGAATCCATAATAAATTGTTTGAGTTCATTCAAGGGAATTGAAGAATGAGACAAATACATCTGATCCCTGTCTCGATTGGAATCATGAGCTAGACATGGGATTTTGTCAGCATGCAGCATGGCTGGTGTTTCATCTGCACTGTAATTGCCCTACCCAACTTGTTTCATTTGTTAATTGATTTGTACTCTTATTTCACTGCCAAAAACTTGATATGATATTATACAATTTCCTTTTTTTTTTAATCAATTACATGTATATTTTTGTTAGTTTGATGTTGTATTGAGATTCTTGAGTAACGTTTTGCCTCATATTTGTGTAATGCGAATTGAGGCTAAATATTGTAGTAACTGTACATATATTTAACAGATTTTTCTTATAGTACGCTCAATATATCGACCTTGGGTTAGATCTGTAGATTACTGCTACTATCTGCTCCTTTTACCGGCCTGCTAGCACACGACGGTTCATGTGTCTGAATGCTTCATAGCATGATGGTTTCATACATTATACTTATATTTTATGAGATTGAGGATATATCTCAAGGAGTTAGGTGTATAGCAGTGATTGATATGCAAAGTGAAATGAGATAGTGTCTGCTACATCCTTGGAATTATTGTTTGAGGCTAAACAGGGCAAAAGAAAAGAACCAGAAAACTCCCAGTAAAAACTAAGTGAAGAATGTTAACAGTAAAAGTGAGTTTGGACATTTTTGTAACTGGTTGGTTCAATTAATGAATGTTTGACATCAGAACTTTATTTTCATATTTTCCAATACTAATTGGTTGAACTCATCACATATGCCGGTGAAATTACATTGTGTTTTTTCCCTGTGATTGTTGATTTGTAGGAGCTCTCTGGGCACCTGATACAAACATCAAGTCCTTCAATGCTTAATTCATGGGCTGATGGAAAGCTTTAATTGGATGCTGGCCATGAAAGGTACCTTGGCACTCTGGTTTACTTGCGTAGTTGCGTAGATTGCAATTTCATTTTTGACTTATATCAGTGGGTATTTTATGTGTTTCCTCAGAGACTTTTCAGTCACTGATTCCTTGTCATGCAATGTAGACATTGCAAATCTCAATTCTTCATGTGTGTTTTAGAGTTTTAGTTGCATTTGGAAATATAATGCGGAATAATAATAAGAATGTAGTACATACTATTGGGCATTAGATTACTAAGTGGACATGATGGGAAAGACTGGGAAGCCGGGTGTGTGGATATTCTCTTCTTTCAAAGGTAAACCTTCAAGACTGGGAAGCCGGTTGGGTGGATCTTCTATTATAGTTAGGAGCGTCTGCAATGTGACAAAGTGGTTATTTTGCCTGTAAGTCGATGCTGTTTTTGTTGGCACTAGTTAAGTCGGTTTCGGAGGAGGCACCCTTGTTTGACTAAAAAACAAAGATGTAACGGTATTTTCATTTCTTCTATGGTAAAATTCAAAACTGTTACTAGTAGCGAATTGGGCATCAATAATTACAAAATTGTCCATCCCAAAAAACTTAAAGAAATCTCAAAGCCCATACCTTTGAAGTCAACTTTGGTTGAATATGTGATAAGCCTTACCTAAGCCATACCTCTGGATAATGGTTTTTTGTACTCTTTTTCCTAGAAGTATCCGTTTCTCAAAAATTGGGATATTGGGGATTTTCTTCATTACTCCGTTTAATTTAATTCCATTGACAACTAATAATCCTACCCCCTTAACTTCTCTCCCATTCTTTTCTTCTGACAAGAAAACCTTGTTTCTCAGAAATGGGGATTTTATTTCTTTAGTCCCTTTCTGCTATCTGATCTACAACTTTCAAATCAAACAATGGGCCCAACCATTGGCTGGCTTCTTGACTTGTCAACTATCTCAAATAACATATGAACCCTTAATTTTATACTACCAGTCATTTTCATTACACTAACGTACTACGGACTACTGTACTAATGTACAAGTATATACTTCGTACTACAATACTGAAAGAATTGGACCAGGTCTCTTCTAGCTAGGATATTATAGCTGCATATATATTGATCATTTCAGGAATCAGATTGCGTTCTGTAATATTTTATGTCTTGTGACAGTAGTACGGAGTATTAGTATTCACCTGAACTTTACTAAGTTCCAAATTTACTACGGGAAAGCCTAGATTGTTAATATTGGATATGTTTTAATCCAAGGTTATTTTGATTGGTATATATAATCAACATTGATAAGAGTTGTTTATCAAAATTTTAAACCAATTCATTTGCGCTTGAAATATTAAAATGTGTGCTGCAGCTTTGCTATACAAAAGATCGTCTTATCATTATAAGGTCACCTTATAATTAGGTTGGGCTAAGGGAAGAGATATTGAAATAGAGTCACATGCTTACAGTGGCTCACAAAAGTGGTTTTATAATAATAAGATGGTCTTACACAATTGATTGATTCTCAAAACACAAGGCCGTACAATGAACAATGCTACCTAAAGAATATAGAACATACCATCCAAAGGTTTTGTAATACATTAATTAAGCTAGTTAAGTTTTGTCTATTTGACTTATTTTGTCTGATATTATTTGGTTTAAAGAGAAATTATTTGTTTATGAAATTTTCTTACAAAAAACTTATGGTTGTAATATTATAATATATAATCTTCTCATTATGTATTTAAGTTTCTACTTCCTAAACTCTTTTTAAGTGCTCTATTTTAACTCTTTGCACTATTAACATAATCCACTTTAACCCATAATTGTGATCTTTACATTTAAAAAAAAAAACATGTTAATGTATACTTTTTGATTATTAACTTTTTAGAATTTATACTTATTAACTAAAATATTACAGAATATTGGTCAAAATTTTGCATTCACATACGTGTCAGTATGCCATTAGGATAATTTTAAAAATACAAATTTTAAGATATGATAGATTGAACAATGCATTAAAAAGTGTGAAAAGTCAAGTGGAATTCCCTACTTTCTTTAAGTGTAACAGTTTGATCGCCACATAGTTTTAGTAAGGTGAGTTAAATAAAAGAAAATATAATTTCATATACAAGTGAAATTTATTGAAAATTTCAAAAATAACCCTATTACATAAGCGAAGGGGGGAGGGGGAGTAAAAAATTACTGCCCACAATTTGAACTACCAGCAATAATATACCTTGACATGATTCGGAAAAGTATAATGTTAATAATTAATTGATTGACTTAGGAAAAAAATCAAACAATTTAAAATACTACAATATTGTCAAACCTAAACTCGATAGGATATTTCATAATATCGTGTAATAGAAAAGAAGTTTTATGTCCTCTAAACTATGTTATTTTCATTTTTTTTCCTCTTAATGTATATGCTTGACAAAATCAAATAAATAGAAGAGTAATTAATTTTTACAACTGCATAAATCACGTAAATATGAGATTAGTAAAAAAATTTAAGCGATGTGCGTTAAGATAAATAATAAGAAAAATAGGACAATGTAAGGATAGAGATACAATTATAAAAAATGTGTCCAAATGAAGAAAGTGATATACTTAAAAAAAAAAAAAAAAAAAAAAAAAAATCAATTTAGAAATGTGATATACTAAAAAAGACGGAGAAAGTATTTGTTTAGCTCATTTGCTTTTTGTCAGTTTTCAATATGGCATTGTAAAATTAAGATAGCTTAGAGCCTTAGACTACATTTAAGAACTAAAAATTAAGATTTACTCCGTATATAAGAAAATTCGCATATGGAAAATGCTTAAAATACACGAGTTCAATTTCGTTTATATTATATTAAAAAACTTTAATATTCTTTCTGTTTTTAAATACTTGCCCCACTTTTCATTTTTGGACATTTTTAAATACTTGTTTCATTTCCTTATTTGGAAAACATTTACAATATTTAATTCATTTATCTCAATTAGTAGACTCAACATAAATCATATTTTATTAATTGCATATTCTCTTTCCTCCAATTCTCTTAATTACTTTTGTTTTTTACTATTTATTATTCTTCCACCTACCCCACTATCTCCATATTTTATTACTTTATCCCAATTCTCCTAAATTCTGCGCATGAAAAAATAGAGCAAGTATTTAAAAACGTAGGGGGTACTTAATTGATGAGCCCAACGTTTAACTGACGTGGATGCGGCATTTAGAAAAGTGGTGGTGGGACAAGTCTCATTTAATACTTAGGTGTGTAGTGTTGGTACCTGGGGGCTGGTTCAACAGTTAAAGACACAAGGTACCATGTAGCCGTACCATTGAAAATCACATCCAAACACAGCTCAATTTAGGTAACGCTGATTAAAGAGTGAGAAAATACCTTAAAGTCAAATCATGCGAGCGTCAGCAGTTTGATATTCTTTTACTTGTATTTTTATAATCAAAATCCGTACTTGTGTTTCTAAAGTGTTACGTACCTCTCTCTCATCACTAACAAGTACGCGGTTTTTAATAGACAGATTAGCAACAGCTGGTGTTGGTTCTTTTTCTATAGTATAGTATCCACTCTCCTACTGTATGTGTTTTGCGCGTTTAGACTCCTGTCCTTTATTTCATCTATTTACTCTCCATTTTTTGCATCCCGCAAATCCAAGAACCTGCTTGGAAAGAATCCTATGCCCCCAAATATTAATAATATTATTCCATCCTATACAAAGATTTGTTCCCTTCTACCGAGTATTAGTTTTTGATTAATTTAGCAATGCCTCCATGTGGGTTCTCAATCATTCCATTTCCTTTTTCCGGCGTATTTTCTACACTTGCATTTACATTATAAATTTTACTATTATTAAGATTAAAAAGACGAGTGAGTGATAATTAAGTTGCTCATTTATTTTGTTTTACTCTGTATCTATTTCTGATCAATTGCTCATTTCAAACACTCCTACATTATAGTGACCAAACTACAGTTAAAAACATAGCGGCTTGGAGAAGTGGACTATATGCTGCTAATCAGTATATTTTATTTTTTATTTGTTTCGTTTGTTTGTGAAATGTTACATCACTAGTTAAGTATGTGTGATGATGGGCTTATTGCATGTTTACTAGTTTACATATGATATAAGTAAAGAACATATAAAATGACTGAAACATTATAAGAATTTAAAACATAAAGCAATGAAACATTAAATGCATAGTGTACTTTCTTTGTTCATAATAGTTACCATAGGAGTATTAACTAAGTTGTAATATAAATAGGGTCAACATAAAAAGGATTTAGTTATCGGTCTAAAACTTTACTCAACGTAAATAATAAAAGTAATAATAAAAAGTTTTCACAAAGTATTCGTTTATATTATTCGTTTTGTCATTTTTTAATCTTTATATTTGAAATCTTTTTGTGAGAGAAAATGGTCGAAGTGTAAACTAAAAAATGATGGTGAGGTAGTATTTAGGAAATATTGTGACGAATCTATCAAGATTTCACATATTGTGTTTAAATGAAAGATGGCCAAGGGTATATAATAATGTTCAAAGCGATATTGTGTGAATTAAAAGAAAATTGAAGATACTAGTAACATCTTTGAAAGGAGGATAAAAAAAGAAGGGTTTACCGTGTACATAAACAAGCTAGTGAAACCGATGCATAGTGCAGAGAAAATCCAGCTGCAACTGGCTTTTGCTTTAATCAAAGTCACATTCTGATTTGGGGTTTGGAAAATGCTTCAAACCATTTTTTCCAGGCAACTTCTGCATTGCTAATTGCATTATACGACTGTACGCCGTATCTGTTAACTTCACCTACAGCCCTAACCCTAAGACTAAAAAAAAGGGCATCTAATAATTTCTTTTTTTCTTTTATTTACTTAATTAATTAATATGGAGTACTCATACTTCATGGTATATTAGAAATTGCTAATTATTCGATTAGTCACTTGTATGTGTCGGCATTTTTGCCATTTTCTTGCAGTACTACAAGCAATAACCTACTGTATAACTCATTGCCTCTTGTTATTTTTATTAACTTATTTTTTCTAATCACTAATCAGTTATCAATAACTTTATTACTCGTAGTTAGTATTCCGTAACTTAATACGGAGTACTACTGATAGTAGAGAAGCATTTTGACATATTTAAAGTGCATTAGAGAGAACTGTTTCATTTCAATATATGGCTATCTATTAATCTCTTTTTTATTGCATTTTCACCAGGCCACAACATTATAATAGTAAATGACTAGTTCACTGGCTAAATTGTGGGAAAGGTTACTGATAAAAAGAAGAAAGAGAGGGGAGGGAGCCCTTTTCTTTTTGCAACGGCTAGATGAAATAACCAGACCGATTCAAGATGAGGTTCCATGGTGTATGCTGTTTGCGGATAATGATATCGTATTGATGGATGAAACTAAAGATGGGGTTAATCCCAAATTGGAGCTATGGAGGCAAAGGTTGGAATATAGAGGGTTTAACTAAGTTGGAGTATAACTGAATATTTGGTATGCCGCTTTGGTACTCAGAGGGAGACAAGCGATGATGTGGTGAGTTTGGATGGAAAGGACTTGACCATGAGTGAATGTTTTAAATATCTTGGGTTGATCATCCAAAATAATTGTGACATTGATCAAGACGTGACCTACAGGATTAAGTCGGGGTGGCTTAAGTGGAGAGCGGCCATGGGAGTGTTATGTGATTGAAGCATTCCCTTATATTTGTAGGGAAAATTCTACATGATTGCCATAAGACCAGTGTTGTTTTATGGTACAAAATGTTGGGATTCTAAGAAGCAGCACATTAAAAAGATGGAGGTTATGAAAATGCGCATATTAAGGTGATTGTGAGGGAATATTGTAAGAGATAGAATGAGAAATGAAGTTATTCGCAAAAAAGTAGGGGTGGCAGGCATTGCAAATAAACTAGGGAAAATCGTCTGCGTTGGTTTGGACATGTAAGACGGAGACCCGATGGTGCACCAACACGAAGAGTGAAAGAGTGGGAACATGGAGGGGTTAAACGAGGGAGATGGAGACCGGAAATGATTGGTTGGAAGGAATTAGGAAGGATATGAAATATATGGATTTGCATGAGGATGAGGCATTATTGGATCATAAGGGATGGAGGAGGAAGATTTTTGTTGATGACTACGCGGAATAATCACTTTTGATTCATGTAGCCGACACCACTTATAGGATTAAGGCCTTAATTAATTGATTGATAGGGGAGAGAGACAAAGACATTTGATACTACCTAGTACCTACTCTATGTCTATTTGCCTTTTTCTCTTTTTTTTTTCCCAAATGAATCTACACTACACACATCGGAGTTATTTTTACGTATTTATTTAATTATTCATTAAAAAAATATAGGAAGTAATATCTGTGATCTGTCACCCATTTCCTCAACCTTCTTTGCTTGACTTGAGGGATCTAGTAGGGACTATATATATATGACTCTATTTTCCCCATTTCTAATCTCCCTCTCAATATAATCTTCCATTCTTAGCCAGCTTCATCGCTCCATTTTTGCAACATCAATAGCTGCTTCAAATAAAGATCGAGAGATCAACTGCAAAATACATAAAGAAAAAAAAAAAATCATCATCAATATATATATATATAGAAAGGTCGTTGAGTAATGGTGAAGTCAGAGGTGAAGACCCAATCTGAAGCATCCAAGGCAATGTCATCATCATCATCTTTATCACCAACATCACAACCATCATCGTCGTCATCGTTGAAGAAGAAGTACAAAGGAGTTAGAATGAGGAGTTGGGGTTCATGGGTATCTGAGATTCGAGCTCCAAACCAGAAGACTAGAATCTGGCTGGGCTCCTATTCAACCCCTGAGGCTGCTGCTAGAGCTTATGATGCTGCACTCTTATGCCTTAAGGGCTCCTCTGCTAACCTCAACTTCCCTCACTCTGCTTATTCCACTACCTCCCCTCTTATTCCTTCTCATGCTGCTGCTACTACTGCCACTGTCATGTCCCCTAAGTCCATCCAAAGAGTAGCTGCTGCTGCTGCTGCGACTACTACTACTACTACTGATGAACACACTCAAGCTCACCCGTCAACATCATCTTCTCATTCATCTATGTCATCTTCCCCTTCTCAGTCATCCTCGCCACCACCCTCTGACCAACTCATTGATGATATCATCTCTCTTGCAGATGATCCCTATCATCCAACTTTTGATGACATCAATAATGCTGCCTCATCCATGGTTATGATGAATAATGACTACCCATGGTTTGATTTATTTCCTAAACACTTGGATCCTGTGATGATGAACTCCATGTTCTTCAATCCCCCATCCATGAATATGATGGATATCGAGCAGCTATACGATGATGGGGATATTCCCTTGTGGAGCTTCCGCTGATCAATCCGTTCTATTTTTCATCTATTCCCACATTTCATTATTCTTTTTTCCCCATCTTCCAATTCATTTCAATCACTAGTTGTTCTTGCGCCAAGGGCCAACTTGAGGACACCACTAACAATTACATCTTATATATATACACACACATTATATGTTAATCTATGTACTGTATTCGTTTACGGAGTAACTAGTACTCCTTCGATTTTAGCGTATACAACTAAGCTAGAAAAGGGGGAAAAAATATACTTATATTTATGTTTACATTTGAGGTCTGGCATTTTTTTCAGCCTCGTATATATATTTGAATTGTAATGTGCAAAGTTTCACAAATAATTCATTATTTGTATTTGTAAGAGCATTGAATTAACTTGGTTGTAATGTTTATACAAGTATTCATACATACTCCTCTATTTTTTTTCCCCTCGAGAATCCATTTGAAGGAAATAATGGCTTTTCGATGATTCTAATTAATATGTGCATTTTATTCCAAAATCATATCATTATATTTCCTCTATCTATACCAGCGAGATCTTCATTTAATGGATGTAAGGAGTGGGAGTGTCAAATCAGGTACTTCGTCCCCTCATAAAAAAAAAAAAAAAAAAAAAAGGTACTTCGTATATAATATGGAGTAGTAACTTGGTGAAGTACTCGTAACTAGTATGAGAATAGTGGGTTTTTTGTTGTTGGAGGAAGGATGTTTCGTGAGAGGTTCAAAGGTTAATAGAAGAAAACAATGTTATTACGCTTTTAATTTTTTGTAATATAGGGAAAGTACCCAGAACATAGCTATTTGACTAACAACAACTGGGGATACTGGATAGCAGGGTGATGGTGGCATTTTTTTTTTTTTTTTTGTTTTTTTACTTATTATGCAAATTTTACGCGTACTTATTGCTAGTTATATTTACCTCAGAAACTTTTTGGTGGATCACATTGTATGGCAGCGGTTACCCGAGTTATTTTGTTAGGGGTTACCCGAGTTATTCAATCAGGGATTACTCGAGTTATTTGGTCAGGGATTACTTGAAGGGTTCGGACAGGGGTTACTTAAGGGGTTCACTCGGTCAAGGGTTACTTGAGAGGTTACTCGGTCAGGGAATACTTGAGTTACTCGGTCAAGAGTTACTCGAATTACTTGGTTAGGGATTACTCGAGGGGTTACTCGAGAGACTCGATCAGGGGTTCCTCGAGTTACTCGGTTAGGAGTTATTTAAGAAGTTTGGTCAGGGGTTACTTAAGTAATTCGGTCAAGGGTTACTTAAGGAGTTCGGTCAGGGGTTACTTGAGAGTTCGGTCAGGGGTTACTTGAGTGTTCAGTCAGGGGTTACTTGAGGGATTTGGTCATGGATTACTCGAGGGGTTACTTGAGGAGTTATTACTCGGTCTGGAGTAACTCAAGTAACCCCTGACCGAGTTCTCGAGTAACCCTGGCAACTCGAGTAACCCCTGCCGCACGATACAGCAGGCCGCATACAAAAAAATTGTGTATTTACTTTTAGAAAATAATTAATAGAATGCTTCCAATCATAACTAAAGAAGAAAATTACATTCCTTGTTTTTTTTTTGAAAGCAAATTGTTTGTAGTACTGTACTAGGTTAAAATCTCGTGCAATGCACGGTTGTTAAATATTTTTGACAATAATATTACAAAATATAAATTATATAAAAGATATTCAGAAATATTTCATTTGGGTATACGTGGAATATGATTGTCAAACTGGAGGTATATATAGTTTACTTAAAGATTTTGCAAAAAAAAAAAAAAAAAAATAAGAAAAAGGCGGGAAATTTTTTTACAAGGTAATGACAAGTGTAATGGAAGGATTTGTTTTTAGTGTTTTTAGTGTAGGTTAATAGATAGTGTATATTTTTTAAATAAATTATTGCACGATTCAATTTAATGGGAAATTATTACGCTATTTCTCAAACAATTTAACATTTAAGGAGCACAACTACAGATATATATATTCAGTAAAAAAATCTAACAAGATTAGTATGACTATGTTTTTTCCTAAAGTATAAGAAGTTTGTGTGAATAGTACGAAGTACAAAACTTCTAACGTTTTGATTACATTTTGTGATTGATTAGTGGCAACGTCTAACTTGTCTTTTAATTGTCAACTAGTTTTTGGCCCGGGCAATGCCCAAGTCATTATATGTATATTATAAATGAGGTTTTATAACAAAAGTAATGTAATAAAATACAAAAAAAAGATTAAAATAGTTACATGTGTTGTAAATAAAGGAGTAATCTAGTACAAATAGTATAAAAATATTTAAGTAAGATCAAAAAGATAATCTCACAAATAATGGAACAATATCGGTGTGTCGTGATGCAAATCACTAACTTGAATTTCGACGCAACCAAGATGTTCAATTATATTCGCCGGCACGTTTCTAAGGTTAACACACCACTTCCACACAAAGAAACTTTTGTGTAGATGGTTTGAGTCAAGTAACTTATGCCCAATTGGAAATGTGTTTAAATCGACTATTGTGCTTGATGTATTTTTCAAGTGTAAAAATCAGAAAAAAGGCTTCTTCTATTTATAGAGAAATATGAAAGAATATAGAAGAAGAATCCCAAGCATCAAGGGAGGTGAATAATTACCTTAAACATCCTCTTAAATTGGGGGTTATAAGAATTACTCAACAAATTAAGTTAGGGAATCCAAATATCAAACCGTTGGAGTCCAACGGGCCAACACGCGTCCGATCGAGCGGCTGGATCTGATGCCTTGAATTCTCTTATTTTATTCCAATTCAACAACATTAACTTCAATACTCATACTATTTAAATATATTTTTCCAATCATTATTGAACATCAATATATACTATCCAATCACTAGTAGAAAAAACTAAATAGGCACCCCCCCTATAGCACCGGTTCTTGAAAACTGGTGCCAACAATAATGGGCGGGAATGGGAAATTCATAGTTGGCACCGGTTCTCACCTAAACCGGTGCCAACTTCTTTAATTAGCACCGGTTCAAACCGGTGCCAACTGTTTATTTTTATTTTTTTTTTAAAAAAAAAAAGAAGAAAGGGATAGAGTTCGCACCGGTTTAAGGAGAACCGGTGCCAACTATGCTGTTTTTCACCGGTTCAAACCGATGCCATGTTTAAAACAAAAACCTGGGTTAATAACGTTCTTCTTTTTGCTCTGCCTCTTCACTTCACGCACTGTGCCATTGAATATTTCTCTTCTATTTTTCCTTCTTCTCTTCTCTTCTCTTCTCCTGCTAGCTTGTTCATTCAACGGTCTTCGTTTTCCATTGAAGGGTTGCGAACTTTCTCATCCTCCATTGAAGTAGTACTCCATATGCATCCCTCCATTGAAACAGCTTCAAGCTAATTAAGGTAAGTTTTTTTTAGGTTTTACTTACTCCATCGTTCAATTCCTTCGTACTCTTGAGTTTTTGGTGGATTTGCTTTACAATTTAGTAATCACAAGTTTCTTGTAATCTAGGGTTTGTCAATAGTCGCGCATTGCCCCCCCTCCACAACTATGTTCTTGCTCTCACAGTTGGTTAAGGCGCGAGTTTCAGGTACTGTGCATCTTTCTGGATTTTCCCTTGGCTGTTTGTGTATTGGTTTGTTGTGCCTGGGTTGTATAGGTGTTGGGCTGCTATTCATTTTTGGTTGTTTGTGTTTTGGTTTGCATTGTTCTGGTAAGGTGTTGGGCGTTAGTGTTTTGGTTTGCATTGTGTTTTGGCTAATTAAGGTAAGGTGCTGGGTGTTAGTGTTTGGGTGCTGCTGTGTGGTGCATGGTGCAGCTCAGTGAGGTTGTTTTTCTTGGATGGTTGTTGCTATAGCCTGTTAGTGATAGTAATTGTAGGGTAAGAGGGGTAACCTAATAGAAATGGTTTGCGAAAAATTGGATTAAGTAAAACTATTGAGAATTAGTTAAAACGTCTGAAAACAGAAAGTGTAATAGCTGCCCACATATAGTGGGTGGGAACTAAAGAATTGGAGGTAATATGATGCATGCTACAAAAGAGACCATTTTATTGTTATTTATAAGCTTTTTTTGTTTGTTTTTATAGGTTCATATGTGAATTGAAGTTTAAGTTTAGCTTGAAGATTATACATATTTAACTCAAGTTAGAAGTATTGGTATGAATTATAAACTTCTCTAAGCTATAAATATTTCTTTCTCTTTATTATTGTTTTAATAAAAGTTTTTTCATGCTAGCTATTAGACTTGTGTATTATATAATGACAAACTAAATACAACAGTAAATATATGAAATGCTTGCATCATCATATGCCTAGATACCCGTTCAAGGCTTTCTCATTAGGAGAAAGTCTTGAATAGTCCTCGGTTGGGACTGTTCTTGAACGTTTACTCTCACTTAGGTGGTGAATGTATGTCTATTTTTTCGATTTTAAGGAACATCTTGGCTTACCATTTCCTCGAACACCATGTTCTCTGGGTACATATGTGGGTAACTTATTACCTACATCGTGTACTTGGAGAATTGGGGGGAAATGCTGCCGGATTTTCCTTAAAATTGGAAAGTCGACATACATTCACTAGTGAGAGTAAACGTTCAAGGATGGGTTAGGTTGGAGTGATAAGGACCCTTTGGAAGCATATATGCATTTTTGTATCTATATCAATGTTATATGCATGTTGTGTGTTTGAATTTGATTTACATATATAATAGATGGTAGCAATTATACATGATTCGTAATATGTTGCCATGTTTAGAGACAATTTACTTAATGGAGAAGGATCGTGGATGGATGTATGGTAGACGTGATACATTGGAATTCTTTAATGGGGTTCAAGAGTTTTGCGAGAGGGCTTCATCTTACAAGCGCAGAATGGGTTTTGATTGCCTCTATTGTCCTTGTGTTGATTGTAATAATGTGAAGGTGGTCAATAGTGTTGATATCATTAGAGATCATGTAGTTTGTCGTGGATTTAGGCTTAAATACCATGTGTGGATTTGGCACGGTGAAGAAGGAGAGTACAGTGGGGATGTTATTGGGAATGATGTGCACGATAAAGAAGGAGAGTACGAGGAGTACAAGAATAATGATGAACATATTGTTGATCATGATGCTGAGGATGGATTTGAGAATGATCATGTGCATGAGGTCGAGGATGAACGGGTGGATGAGATGATGCGTGGTTTTGAAGGTGACGTGTTTGAGTCATTATCGGAGGCTTCTAAAAAGCCTTTGTATCCTGGGTGCAAAAAATACTCCAAACTATCAGCCGTACTAACACTTTTTAACATTAAGTCGAAGCATGGGTGGATGGACAGTAGTTTTACTTCTTTGTTGACCGCGTTAAGTGAGATGTTACCCGACGGGAATGAAATTCCTAAGTCTTACTATTACGCAAAGAAGCTCATGTGTCCATTTGGTTTGGAGTATAAGAAGATACATGCATGTCCTAATGATTGTATTCTTTATCGAAATGAATATGAAAAATTAGAGGAGTGTCCACGATGTAAGAAGTCGCGCTACAAGCGCATGAGTTGCAATGCTGGTACGAAGGGACCGCCTGCTAAGGTGTTGTGGTATCTTCCCATTATTCCAAGGTTTAAGCGTATGTTCTCTTTACCACAAGACGCTAAAAACTTGAGGTGGCATGCAGAGGGAAGAAAGAAAAAACAGAATGCTGAAGCACCCAGCCGACTCCCCGCAATGGAAGAACATTGATATGAAGTTTGCGGAATTTGGTGATGAAGTCAGAAATTTAAGGCTTGGTTTGTGCACGGACGGGATGAATCCATTTGGCACTCTTAGTACCCAGCACAGCACATGGCCGGTACTTTTAGTGATCTACAATTTGCCTCCTTGGTTGTGCATGAAATGGAAATACGTAATGCTTTCACTTTTGATATCGGGGCCAAGGCAACCAGGAAACGACATAGATGTTTATCTTGTGCCACTTGTTGATGATTTGAGAAAGATGTGGGACGAAGGGGTTTCCGTGTTTGATGCTCATAAGAATGAGATTTTCACATTGCGTGCAGCTCTTATGTGGACCGTTAATGATTTTCCTGCATATGGCAACTTGTCTGGGTATAAGAAAAAAGGGAAAAAAGCATGCCCCATTTGTATTGATGATACGCCAAGCAGACGCCTTGATCATTCTCACAAAGAGGAGTATTTGCGGACCAGAAGGTTGCTCAGGCGCGATCACCCGTACCGTAGGCAGAAAAAGGCTTTTGATGGGACAGCGGAAGAGGGGACTGCGCCTAGGCCGTTGACTGGTGAGGAGGTTTACGCTCGAGTTAAGGGTGTACGAACAGTCTTTGGGAATTCAGAAAAAGCGGCGGAGTCAACTGCTCTCTTTAAAAAAGAATCAATCTTTTGGTTGCTCCCGTACTAGAAAGAACATGACGTTAGGCACTGTCTTGATGTAATGCATATAGAGAAGAATGTGTGTGATTCTCTTGTGGGAACGCTGATGAATATTCAAAGCAAGACAAAGGACGGAAAGGGTGCACGAGACGATTTGAAAAAGATGGGGGTGCGTCCAGAATTGTGGGTTCAACAAAGGGTTAGTAAGGGAAAAGAACAGGAAAAGGAAAATGAATTGAGTTCGAAAACAGGAAAGGGAAAGGCCACGGATGCGTCGAAGAAGAGAAATGAGGGAAAAGCCAAGGAGGGCAAGGCCTATTTACCTCCGGCTTGCTACACGTTGTTAAGGGTAGAAAAACGGATGTTTGGTGCATGTCTGTATGGCATTAAGGTTCCATTAGGGTACGCATCTAACATGAAGAGATTTGTATCCTTAAATGGAGAATTGAAGCTGACAAGTATGAAATCCCATGATTGTCATGTTCTGATGCAAGTTTTCCTACCAATTGCAATACGTGGTATTTTACCAAAGCACGTGAGGGAAGCTATTACAAGCCTCTGTTCGTTTTTCAATACAATATGCAGCAAAGTGCTTGATCCTTGTACACTTGATGCTTTACAGGCGGATGTGGTTGTGACTTTATGCAAATTTGAGATGTACTTCCCACCCTCGTTTTTCGACATAATGGTGCATTTGATTCTTCATTTGGTGCGTGAGATTAAGTTGTGCGGTCCAGTGTTCATGCGGTGGTGCTATCCTTTTGAAAGACATATGGGTACATTGCAAGATAAAGTGAGGAATCGGGCTTACCCGGAAGGAAGTATTATTTAAGGGACCGTGGCTGAGGAGGTCGGTAATTTTGTTGCCGACTATATAGCCGTTGCTAAACCTATTGGTATTCCTACTTCTCGACACGAAGGGAGACTTGATGGTCATGGCACAATTGGGTCGAAACGAATGTCACCCGATCGAGATAAGTTCTTACAAGCGCACCTTTATGTGTTGCACCATGTTGCAAATGTTCACCCATATTTAGACGAGCACATGGCTAGTTTGCGTGATGAATTTCCATCGAAAGGTGAACGGGCACTGATGCAGTTGCATAATAAGAAGTTTGTGAGTTGGTTTCGTGATCGAGTGATGGGTGGAAAGTATGAGAGTATCACAGATACAGTAAGGTGGCTTGCTTATGGTCCCAGGGATGACGTTCGCTCATTCGAGGGATATGACATAAATGGGTACACATTTTGGACTGAGCGTCAGGATTTGAAATCATCCTCGACCCAAAACAGTGGTGTAATGCTTGTGGCATCGTCAAGGGAGTTTGCAAGTGCTAAGGATAAATCACATGTTGATGCAGAGTTGTCATACTACGGTCGAATTCAAGAAATATGGGAGCTTGATTATTGTGACTTCACGATTGCTCTTTTCCGGTGTAAGTGGGTTGATAATATCAGGCGTAACGTCAAACATGATGACTTTACTCTTGTAGATCTTGGGCACCTGAATGATAGTGCTGAACCATTCATCCTTGCATCTCAAGCCAAGCAAGTGTTTTACGTAAGTGACCCAGCCAACTCAAACTGGTTTATTGTGCTAGCCAGAAAAAGAAGAATCCTTGGTGTTGGAGATGTCGAGGATGAGGAAGAATATGATGCGTTTGATGACTCGGCACCTTTCACTGTTCCTAGACTTGTTGTACCAAATGAGATAGACGACCAAGCCAATTACATGCGATCAGACCACGACGAAGGAATATTAGATTGAGGTACTATTTTTTGTTAGTTTGAAATTGTAGGCGTCGAAAGTATTATTAAATCACATTTTTAGGTGAAAATGAATGAAATTGTTAACTTACTTGCCCATTTTTCGTAATTTCTTTTAAATGAATGAAGTAACTTAGTTTCGCATTTTCTATGTTAATTTGTATTATAATTCGGCAATTTATATTTGATTATAAGTTTACCTTACAAATTTATTTTTATTAAAACTAATAACGTGTTATGTTTGTAATGACAGGTTTTACATCTCATGGCGGATGATCACTACTGTATTGGAGTGGAGGATATAGAGGATGATGATGATTATTCATATGGGGATGGGGACGAGTTGTATGATGTGAACAAGGAGCCTGATTTGGATGAGGCAGAAGATCAAGCTCAAGATGTTTTGGATCGTATGCTTGATGTGTTTGAAATTGCAGCTGAACAAGCGCCTCCTATCGAAAATGTAATGTCTGAGTCATTTGATGAGAATCCTATTGGAAGGGGGTAAAGGCACCAGTGAACAAAAAACTGAGGGGTCCGACGACAAGCTTCAAGAAAACTGTCGGTCTAATGGTCCTGGAGTATGACAGGGTAGGCCAACCTACAGGAAAATGGCGTCGTCAGTATGCTGTTCAAGTTGGGATTTGTGCGCGCAAAATTCCCATTACTATTCGCTTGAGCGAAGTACCTACAGGCTTGATTGACACGTTTTGGAATGATACTAGGGCAAGTGTTTTTTTTTTGCACATTTACAAATTCCTTCAATTTATAGTTATTAAATGGGCAAACTAATAATGATTGTTATTTGTGCTTGCAGAGTCCATTTAGCATTCCAAATGAGTACGCCAAGCGAAGGGTGTTTGAATCCTTACTTGCGGCAAGATTCAGAGGCTTCAAGACCACCTTAGTTCGTCGGTTTATTACAAAGAAACTTGTGAGAAAACCAAAGAACAAGAAAGGAGGTGGCAATGATGATGAAGTCATCGATGAAGAGAAACTCCCATGGCAAATATGGCCTAGCGTATCAAAGGAAGATTAGGATGCTTTCGTTCTTCAAAAAAGCAAAAAAGAAGCAATTGTAAGTTCAAGTAACTCTGATGACAAATGTATAATATATTTGATATTTTGGTAGTTTTAAAACTAATATGTCTAATTATGTAGGATATAAGGGAGCAGAATTCCAAGAGTGCATTGAAGAAGCAATACCACCGTCGTATGGGGTGTATGACGTTTGACGAATGGAGGGAGACGTGGGTGAATGAAGGAGTATACCCCACTGTGCTTCTAGGGTCCTCCACAGTGCCCTCTGACTCCACGACCAGTACTTTGGTGAGTCGTGCCGGAGATTTCTTTTGTTCTTTGCATTCTCGTGACAAGAAAACTGGAAAATGGTCCATCAAGGCTCTGGAAACGAAAAAAATGGCAGATAAACTTGTAAGAAACTATGACTTGTGAACTGCATGAATCTTTTGCATATATATCACTTTACATAACCACTAACTTGATGTTGCCTTTTTTTTTTTTGCTACAGCTTGAGTACACTGAAGAGCTTGTTGAAGGCAAGCTCGTCCCAACAGTGGAGAAGGACCCTTTCACCTTGGCTTTGGGAAAGGCCTACCATCCAGGACTCGTATTGGGTGCGGGAGGGAGCTTGCTAGGATGGGAGAAGGTGATGGGTCCGGAATATACCAAATCAGGGAGATCCCGGGCAAGTGTGAACTCACCAGTCAACTTGGATGCCACGATGGCATCAATTAAGGAACAAGTGCGCAACGAGATGCGAGAAGAGTTCAATGCATGGGCAAAGCAAATGAACTTGCCGAGCTTGCCTTTCTCCTCGGCTACACCGGTCGACTCTTCTAGTCACCCACGAAAACAAGGAGAAGATGAGATACATGCAGACGAGGAGGTACATGATCAAGTGGTTTCTAATGTATAAGTTTTGACTTTTAGAGTTACGTCGGTTCTAATTAGCCTCGCACTATTAATACACTTTTGTAGGTTAGTAATCCTGCACATGCGTACTTGAAGGAGCCTGAAAATCCAACACCTCATGACTTTCCAGTTCTACAGGTGAGTTGTTTAGTTATTTCTTTGGATGGTGATATTGGTTCTTTGATTCTGCTGTGAATTTGTGAAGTTTGTTGTGTTGTTTCTTTATATTGGATGAAGTTTGCGGTTTTATGTGCTGTAAATGTTCTTCGTTTGCGTCGTGTTTCTTCGTTCCTGTAAAGACCGGTTTATGTGCTGGTTCTGTGCTATTGTTGTCGTGTTTCTATGTTGTCATGTTGTTTCTGTCATGTTGTTTATGTGCTTGCTGCCTGCCTGCTGTGATGCTATGAGTTGTGCTGTTTCTGTGTTGTGTTGCTGCTGTGAGCTGTGAACTGTGCTGAGTTGTGTTGTGAGCTGTGAACTGTGCTGAGTTATGCTGTGAACTGAGTTGAGTTGTGCTGTGAGTTGTGAACTGTGCTGAGTTGTGTTGAGTTGTGCTGTGAGCTGTGAACTGTGTTGTGTTGTGAGCTGTGAACTGTGCTGTGAGCTGTGTTGTGCTGTGAACTGTGTTGCGCTGTGAGCTGTGAACTGTGCTGTGCAGTCAGCAGTCAACAGGTAGCAGATGTGCAGTCAACAGGCAGCAGGCAGCAGCTGTGCACCAACTGTGCAGTCAGCGGTGCCGGCAGTGCATCTGTTGTGCTGGTGCTGCGTTGTTCCGTCGTTTTGCTCTTCTCTTTTTTTTTTTACTTGTTTCTTACAAGTGATATTCCAAATTGGTGCAGGAAGAGACCCGTTGCGAAATTTTTCACCCGGGCGAATCGCTTAATGGAGCTTTGAATTTCGTTGCATATGGTAGTGCACAACCGGCCGAACAAGGTACGGTCCATTTACGGCCGCTTCGACCTGAGCATTATTCGGTCGGGATCCATTTTGTGGTTGCCGGGTTCGAGGACATCCTAATACCTGTGCTCGTAGAGGAGGATGAGTTTACTACACTTTGGGCGGCAAAATGTAGTTTTGTGCAATGGCCATGTGCTTGGATACGGTTGGTGAACCAGGTAAATAAGATTTAAAGTTCACGCTTTACTCTATACCCGATTTTCATCCCAAGAGTTGGATGAAATTCTTTTCTAACCATTTGTGTAATTTGTCTTATTAGCGATCGAGGAAAAGCCAAACTCCAAAGAAGAGGGTGGAGGGGCCAAAAAGCATTGATCAACATATGCCAAAGAAGAGGAGTGAACATGGCTCGGTGAGTGGAAAAGCGTCGAACAAGAGCTCTTCACGAGGTTCAGCTATGCAAGCTACTCCATTAGTTGAAGACACGGTGCTTCAATCTCTCTCTAAGGAGTTAACTTATCTGCACAACCGTGTTTGCGTGTTGCCTAGTGACAGCTCCATTCAAGTTCCACTACCTAAGGAAATGTTCCACTACGATGATGATGCAATGGCATGGCTATTTAAAGAAGATTTGAAGGAATTTCTAAGTGGTGCAATGCTCAACATTTCCCTCATTCAAATATGCATCAGGTAATTCAACTAGTACTCAATTTATGTTATTCAGTTTAGTGGTGATTGTCAGTTGGTTTTCGATTAACATTCTATTATCATGCATGCAGAGCACTCTAGGAGCACTTATGGGAGCTTGGTTCTCCCTGTCAAATTGGGTGGTTATGCCCTGAGCAGATCTCCACTGCTAGAATCTTAGGCAACCACGCTGACGTGTTGTACTATGTTGAACGGGGTATCAAGGAATCAGTGCGTGCGGAAGACATGTTTATATTTGCCCCATATTATGAGGAGTACGTCAGATTATGCTTGTCAAATTCATTTGTTTTCCCAGTTTATATGTTGTACTTGCCTAATTATTGATTTGTTTGTCTCGTGTGAATGTATGTACGTAGTTATCATTGGACCCTACTGGTGATTTGTGTTTCCAGTAACACAATATTCTTCTTTGATTCTGTTTGGTTACCTCAACCAAGAAAGCGCCTCGTGAAGTCCATACTGCAAAAGTAAATATACATAGCTTCAATTCTTGTTATTGATTATCATAACCTAACTCATATATATTAATTATACTAATCAAATTTGAACTTACTTTTCTATGTAGTGTTATGAAGAAGATAAATTCTCGAGCTCCTCGAGGTCCTACATGGATATCACCGATGGTAATGCCACATGATATTGCGATTTTCGTAATATACAATGCGTAAGATGTTGCTAATTTGCTATGTATGTTTGATTCATATACTTTGTTCCTCATGCTAGTGCGCACAACAAGATAACGGAGTTGATTGTGGCCTATACGTGATGAGATTCATGTTTGACATAGTGAGTCATTGTACAGACACGCAACAGCTTGAAGAGGTATGCCAATTTGGTTGAAATTACGTTCCAAAACGCCTTAATTGCTCTTTTCTTGTAATTTCAAGCCTTAGTCACCAATAACTAAGTGATAAAGACATATTATGACTATTTATGAGTTCACTGGACAAGAAATGTAGGAAATAGGCATCCTAGTAGTGAAAATGGCCTTACTCGAGCCATTTTGGTTGAAAAAGCGTTCTAAAACCCCTTAATTGCTATTTACTTGTAATTTCAAGCCTTGGCCACCTATAAATAAGTGATAAAGACATGTTATGACTATTTATGAGTTCACTTGACAAGAAATGTAGGAAATAGGCATCCTAGTAGTGAAAATGGCCTTACTCGGGGCCATTTTGGTTGAAATTGCGTTCCAAAACGCCTTAATTGCTCTTTTCTTGTAATTTCAAGCCTTAGTCACCAATAACTAAGTGATAAAGACATGTTATGACTATTTATGAGTTCACTTGACAAGAAATGTAGGAAATAGGCATCCTAGTAGTGAAAATGGCCTTACTCAGGGCCATTTTGGTTAAAATTGCGTTCCAAAACGCCTTAATTGCTCTTTTCTTGTAATTTCAAGCCTTAGTCACCAATAACTAAGCGATGATGACATGTTAAGACTATTTATGAGTTCACTAGACAAGAAATGTAGGAAATAGGCATCCTAGTAGTCAAAATGGCCTTACTCGGGCCATTTTGGTTGAAATTGCGTTCTAAAACCCCTTAATTGCTATTTTCTTGTAATTTCAAGCCTTGGCCACCTATAAATAAGTGATAAAGACATGTTATGACTATTTATGAATTCACTAGACAAGAAATGTAGGAAATAGGCATCCTAGTAGTGAAAATGGCCTTACTCGGGCCATTTTGGTTGAAAAAGCGTTCTAAAACCCCTTAATTTCAAACCTTGGCCACCTATAAATAAGTGATAAAGACATGTTATGACTATTTATGAGTTCACTCCTACTAACTTACGTTTTGTGTATGTATTCCAAGTTTTGCAAGGGACAAACGAGAAATCCGTTCACGAGCGAGGAACTCAATGTAATTCGAGACATGTTGGCGACCTACATCACATTTAATTTGTAAATATCATTTATTTCTGTTTTAACTAGCTTAGTGTACTACATTATTACTAATTAATTTTGTTTGTTTGTAGTTATGACACATTTTTCTAATCAATATCATATTTTGGGATGGTTATCAATATTTATGTCCTTGTTATTATTTTCAATTATTATTATTATTAATATATTAATAATAATAATTATTATTAATATTATAATAATAATTATTATTAATAATATTATAATAATAATAATAATTATTAATATTATAATAATAATTATTATTATTATTAATTATCGGTATTATGTGCATGATCTCATTATTATTATATTTATTAGTATTAATATTAATATATAATATTTCCGGAAAAAAAAAAAACAAGTCAAAGGCACCGGTTCATGCTTAAAACCGGTGCCAACTACATTGAATTTATTAAAAAAAAATTGGCGCCATTTAAGTTGGCACCGGTTAACCGTTGCCAAATGGCTGTAGTTGGCACCGGTTAACCGTTGCCAAATGGTTGTAGTTGGCACCAGTTAACCGGTGCCAACTTTATGGCGCCAGTTTTTTTTAATTAAATTCAAGGTAGTTGGCACCGGTTAACCGGTGCCAAATGGCTTTAGTTGGCTCCGGTTTTGAACCGGTGCCAAATGGCTTTAGTTGGCTCCGGTTTTGAACCGGTGCTAAATTTTTGAGGATTTGGCATCCCTCAAATCCCCAACGGTTCAAAATCGGTGCCTTAAGGGGGGTTTGAATCGGTGCCAAATTAGGTTTTTCGTGTAGTGAATATCTAGTATTTAAAATTATTAATTTGCTTTGTTCGACTTCAAGCTTATGAATATGATTAACTATTTTTAACAAAACATTGCAGATATGAGATGTTTCATTGGAGTAGTGGTATTCGTACTATTTAAATAATTTTTCCAATCATTATTGAACATCAAAATATATTATCAAAATCTAGTATTTAAAATTATTAATTTGCTTCGTTCGACTTCAGATCAAGTTTATGAATATGATTAACTCTTTTTAACAAAACATTGTAGATATGAGATGTGTCATTTGAGTAGTGGTTGAAGTTAAAGTATAATATAAACGCACTACTAGAAATAGGCCGATTTCCGATGGACTGTTTCCGACGGACACATATTTCCGTCGAAAAAGTCAGAAATTCCGACGGATTTTTATTCCGTAAGAAATTTCCGACGGAATATAAATCCGTCGGAATATATGGGTTATGACGGAATATTCCGTCGTAATAAAAATTTCCGATGGAAATAAAATCCGTCGGAAAATTTTGACGGAATATTTCGTCGGAACATTAAATTTCCGACGGAAATAAATTCTGTCAGAATATTCCGTCGGAATATAATTTATATAATAAAAAAAAGACCAAACCCTTCTACCGATTCTCTCTCCTCCTCCTCCTTACTTTCTCATTTCACCTTTTCTCTCTCCTCCTTACGCCCCTTCTCTTCCTCTCTCCTCCTTCTCTTTCCCTGTCTTCCTCCCCTTCTTTCCTCTCTTCTCTGTCCGCCCCTTTCTTCTCTCCTCTTCTTTCCCCTCTTTCATCTTCTATCCATGACCAACAACAACCAACACAACCGCCATCACTAACAACCAACAACAACTAACAACCACCATGCAGTGCAACAACAACGACGACCACAACAACACCGGCTACGCGCGACAACTGCACAAGTATTGTAGATCTTGTTTTAATTTAGGTTAGATTGTAGATCTAGTTGTATTTTTTGATTAATTTCTGATTATGTTTAATATTTGAAGTAATTGTAATATTAGGCCAGGTTATAAGTTTAATGAGATAATTGTATATTTATTTAATTTTATTTTACTGTAATTCGATTTTTTCCTCTGTTTTGATTTTTTTTTTACTTAATTTCGAATTAAGATCTATTGGTTTCGATTTATTTTTTGGTTTCGATTTACTTTTTTGTGGACGGAGGTTTGGGCTGGTGGTGTTCGTGGTGTGGGTTGGGGGTTTCGGTGGTGGTGGGTTGTGGGTTAGGAATTTCGGTGGTAGTGGGTTGTGGCTCGTTGTGGGTTAGGGGTTTCGGTGGTGGGTTGTAGTGGTGGTGGGTTGTGGGTAGTTGTGGGTTAGGGGGGTTTTGTGGGTGGGGATCTGGGTTGTGGGGGTTTTGTGGGTGGATCTGGGTTGTGGGGGTTTTGTGGGTGGAACTGGGTTGTGGGGGTTTCGGTGGTCTGATGTGGGGATAATGGCGGTGGTGGTCTGAGGTTGAGCGTAGGAGGGTGGGCTGGTAGGGGTATGGGTGGGTAGGGGGGCAGGGGGTGGGCTGGTGGTGTGGGCTGGTGATGGGGGTGGTGGGTGGGGCTTTTTTTTTTTATTAACTTTTCCGATGGAATCTTTTCCGTCGGAAACTACCCTTTCGACGGAAATTCCGTCGGAAAAGGTCGAATTTCCTACAAAGTGTTTTGCGACAGACTGATTCCGACGGAATTCCATCGGAAGACCATTTTTCGACGGAATTTCCGATGATTCCGACGGATTTTTTCTGTCGGAATCAAGCTGTTTTCTTGTGGTGGCATGAGGTCATAGGTTTGAACATTACGTATAATAATTCATTATTTTTTTAATGAATTATAGTATTTGTATGACATGGCGCCACATCATCTACCTAATCATGATGACACGTGGCAGGCTCATGGTTTCCATTGAGTTTTAATATATACTAATACGTGCCTCGGGCGTTGCCCCGAATACCCATTTTAAAGAGTGTACTTATTTGTGGGCATGTTTTATATTATTATTATAATTATAATTATCATAATAACAACAATTAAAATTATGATTATTAGTATTTATATTTTTTTTTTTAAATTTTAGAGTAGAAATAATTCCTATTATTCTTTTTTCACGTTTGTTTTTACTTTCTGTTTTTGTAAGTTGCACTATATTCATTTCGTCTACTACGATCAATGTTTGTGAATTATACATAAAAAATATATATATATATATATATAATTAAGATATTGTTCATCAAAATTCTATGTCGACATAGGGATAAATTTCAATAGGATACTAAAATAATAGAGGAAGTATAATTTTGTGAAAAGAAGAGTGCGTCGGTAAAAAAAAATAAAAAAAATAAAAAAGTTAAAAGTAATTATTTTTTTGACACGTAAAATCAACGGATTATATATTGGTTTAATCGGACCATTTGTAATACATGGCTGGTAAATGAGCTACGAAGGCTTTGTAAAACCCGTAAAGTTCTAAGACCTTGCTAACAATGATCTGAATTCACTTCAAGATTCCCTTGTATTGTACAGTTTTTATTGTTTCCTAATTTAATTAAGTAATTTTTTATTTCTTTAATTTCATTAACAAAATCACTAACATACATAAAAATATTACAACCGAATATGAAGAATACCTGATTCAAAAGCTTTAATGGTAAATCAATGGTAGACTAAACAAAATTAATAATACATAGCCATATTTATAGTTATAATTACGTGGTTATTCGTATGGGAGTAAAATTCTATCATTAATTGGATATTCATATTAATGGTGTGTTGCTATAAGTAAAATTCTATTGTCAACAAAAAAGATAATTTTTTTCTGAAAAAATTATAAATTATTTTATGTATACCCTTTTTTTTTTATCTTAAACAAATCTATCCAATCTAATCTGGCATCTAATCTAATGTAGTGTGTTGTTATAAGTAAAATTCTATTGTCAATAGAAAGATAAA